TCCTCACCAGAAATTCCTTGCAGGAAAAACTTTCTCCAACTATGACTTCTCCAACCGAAGAAACACCTCATACCGATATTGTTGTAAACCTTTTGTTTGCCTGGGCCTTCGACAGACAATCCGATAATCATGGACTCGGACGATGATGAACAAATGCATGCCGTTGTTCCCTACATTCCTCAACCTAGGAATCGTCACCGTTGGGTGAGTGTTCATCGAATTCCATTTTCAGATTTGGGAAATGAAGGTAAGCCAAGTAAACCGACAGTTGGTAATCGTAATACCGACCATGAGATCATCCCGACACACCAGACGAACACCATCTTCTGTTTGGCATTCAGTACATCTTCTGTTTGGTCTTCACATGTAATGTCACTTCGAATAACAATTGATGTTGTACGGTTCCTAAACCACTTTCACTCATCCTCTATATTGACGAATGTACCGCCGTGCGAGATAACGAATCTCATATCTGCATGTCATCGACGTAAATAAGATTAGCTAACACGAATACCTTAAACAAACATGTTACCTATAGGCAATATGGGCAATGGTAAATACAAAATATTCTGTAGCTTCACTAAGTTTGTAACATTGTTCTCGACATTTAAAATAATGTCAAGAATTACATTTTAAGTTTCGTTCTCGACAGTTATTAAATGTTGAGAATGATATCGGCCAAACACTTTACCATATGCATTTATCATCTTCTTTAACTTCAACAACCGTTTTTACAAGGAATTTATTCCTCCAGTAATGACATTGTCAATGCATGACAACAATTGCAAATCCATCTACTAAAGTTATTTAAGCAGGTTGTGCACCACTTTTGAGAAACTCAAATCAATAAACACGAATTTGATTTTAAAATGCTCCAATAATTTTATAACAAATGTCTACTAAATGTTTGAAAATATCTAATCATCCATTTACATCAAATAAATCACAACAACTATTAAATGCAACTTATCAACAAAATGAGATTTCGAAGAAAATTTTCCTTCTATGGAGAATTGTGGATGAGATTAGATTTCTCAAAACGAAATTACATGATTTTCTTATGAATTAGAAGTATGTAAATTTTGTTGAGTTAATGGTGTTTCATCATCTTCTTTTCTACCCAAAATCATTGGTCATTACCCAATAGATAATGAAAGGACATTTACCCATTAGATACTACCTTATATTAATGTAGCTTCCATACTTCTTTTTCTAGGAATTTGTGACATTGAAAAGAAAAAAAATGTGCTTCATTAAGGGTATAAAAGATAATTTGATACCAAATTTGATCATTTTTACAAGAGTTATCAAGATTGGACATTTTTCAATTGACAAGCATGTAATTGGCCATTTCTAAAAATTTCCCATAATAAAAATGCCGTTCTGTAACGTCAGCACATACACGAACGAGTGATTCAGATTTTTTATAGAACCCATGGCTGTGGCCAAGGACGGACCCACATGGGGTCATGTGGGGTCAGTTGACCTCACAGAATTTTCAGATTTTATTTTTATTTTTTATATTTTTTATCCAAACGTCCCAAGGCCCAAGCCCAATTAAACATAACACTGATCCATTGCCTACCTATCTATCCGTCTATGTGTTGCCATTTGCCAAGCCCATTTGCTGATTTGCACAGAAGACGCGTAGACTACAGTTGTAGTAGTGATTAATGATATGTTGTTTTAAAAAAAAAATTGTATTTCAATTTTTGACCCTACAATGCCAAATGTCTGACTCTGTCCCTGTCTATGGCCCAATTGAAGTCCTCTTAATCATGGGTACATTTTCATTTGTTCATCTTTCTCATTTGTTATGTCAAATGGTGCTTTGAAATGGGTTTTGGATGAAGTGGGTTATGACTTAAAAATGTATACCGAAGGCATGTATCCTTTTTAACGGCAATATGGATGATTTCATGCAATATAAGTTAACCATAAAAGGTGTACAAATGTTGCAACATTAGGTTGTATTACTGGAGTGCCCCCAAAACTCTGTTTCCTTAGTCGGAAATCGCGTGATGGCAAAGCTCGGCTTTCCTTTTAATCGCAGCTGGTCTTAAAAAAGCAACTCCAGTTCGAACTCAACTTTAGCTCTAACTCCACTGTGACTCCAACTTGTGAATTTTACATTATTGTTTTCACAATTGAAGTTTCTTTGTCTGGTCATTGTTATTTCAAATCAATTACTTGGTAGATTTCAATGAATAGTAAATGTCTTATTTAGATTCACTTTTTCTTCTGGGATTTTGATGTTGTTTGCATATGGAGATTCTGTTTTCATATTACTAGTGAAATTGTGCTCACGAATTGCTCAAGGTTGATGGGAAAATCTGTTCCGACTTGGATCAATTCTTTATTATTATTATTATTTTTTCTTTCAGCTTGACTGTCGAACTTCGGTAATTGCAATCCGGTTTTTGAGGGCAAAAACTCGTGAGCAGAGGGCAGCTGTTGATTTAGACACCCACCACTCAAAGGTTGATTTAAATACCCACTACTCAAAGAGAGTGCATTTCCTCTTTTTCGATTCTTTGCTTTCATTTTTGGTTCTTATCCAGTCTATATATGTTATTTAACTTTAGAATATGTGTTTTGTGATAGTGATATGATTACAGTTAAGTTGAATTACATGGTTCATATCTATACAGGAATATCTTGAAGAGTACGTTGGCGTTAAAAAGAGAAGATCTATATTATACGAAGTGATAAATATTAAGCAGATAAACGTATAAAAGTAGTTCCTGAGAGTCGAATGGAAAGGTTGATTATGTGTAGAGGTTCTCGAAACGATACTCCAGCTTTGGCCTCAAGTTTTGTGACTTGGTGGTTTAAAAACAGACTAGAAGGCTCGGTTTGGATGATGAACCGTGACATTTCTCTTTTCGAAAGTTGTTTTCAACCACACACTGCAAAATTTTCATAAATGAGTTGCAACAGGACTTTATCCCATGAGCAAAAATGAAGATCCGGTTGTGTTGGTTATATCTTCTAACTAGATCGTACTTCATCCAGAATTTTTTATTTTTATTTTTTTGGGCTCAAAAGTGTAATTCTTACGGAATTGCTTTCATGCGTTTAAGATTCAAAATCGTTATTGGTTTACATTCTGCAGGAATATGTTAAATACATACCAGCAACTGTATGCAGTCAACTAAGGGACTTGGAGGCCAGAAAAATGCATGTTGGACACAAAATGTCAATAAGAGCGTTCGACTCTATTCGAGCTGCTGGATTTCCTGTATCAATCCTTCACGGGAGGTAAACAAGGTGCAGAGGTGTAACAAATTTCACCTGTTTATGGTCTGATAGAGCGTGTTTGGCTAAGCTTAAAGAAACTAATAGTTACTTATTTTGAAAGTAACTCTTATCTTACTGTCAAAATAAGTATCTTATTTATGTTATCTGAAAACTCACTTTTTTATACAAGTAAACTTTTTGAACTTAGCCTAACATCTCTACGCCTGCTAAGATATTTCTGATGGCTCAGACACGATATCATTCCTCCGTTGAGCCATGCGAATAGGCGAACGGAAAAATTATATCCTTTTGCAAGAATGGTTGAACTTCACGGTGGGCATCTTTGAGTCATGAGAGAATTGAATAGGTAGTAAACATTTTTTTTATTATACGGGTACAGTAACTTTGCTTATATTTTCACAAATAAATCTAAATGGTCAAATTCAAGTAATTTGAAGAGTAAATAATGTACATGAAATCGAAATTTCAGTTTGATGATGCTCTTCTTGAGTTGATCAAGGCATCAGAGAGTGCGATAAGTCTGTATGATAGGACAGACTTGTCCAAGACAAGCATTGGTGTCGGGTTTTGATACCCAATAAATTTCGAGTAATGATGTTAACGTGGGCATATGTTTCATAGGCCTCGACTGATGAGTGAAATAACTATCAACAATAAAGTCTAAAAGTCCTACCGTATCCATTTATATTACCTCTTAAATGGTTTTGAATTTTGGCTCATTTAATCTTGTTATTGGTCCAATTAAACACCTAACCTAACCCTACTTATATGTGTTTTAACCTGGCCATTTTTTGTGTATGATTTGTATATGAACATAGGAGAAAAACGTGGCCCCTTCTCTGTGAAAAATCAACTGCCATAGTGTGTCCAAAAACCAGTGGATTTCTTTGTGAATTTGGCCTCCTTTTGTGCCCATTCTTCATTGTCTTTCTCCTTGTTTTTGTAGCTACAAATCATCACCATTATCTTGTTCTTTTTAAGTGAAATTGAAAAGCAATCGAGGTGAATATATTGGTTGTGGATTGGAGTTGGTTGGATTGGTTGTTTAGTAGAGAAAGGTAACGTTAAATTGAGCCTCAAAAACACCGTTTTGACGATCCTTGTAGCGAGCTTCCGCGACAATTGGTAAGAAATAGTCATTCACAAGTGTTTCCTTTTCCTGTTTCTGATCTATATACCAAAGCCAAAAGCTGGAAACACTGAAATATGGCACTTTTATCAAGGTGTAAAGCTACTCCGATATCATTTTGCAGTGCAGGATACAGGCGACGAAGTTGTTTTTCCTTTTTTGGATGACAATCGACATTGTAAAAAAGCTACGTATTTCGCTATTATACCTTTTTGTTCTCTTCGAATTGGCACTCGAGCATTTATGTAGAGCCATGAGGATTCTAAAACCTGTCAAGATAGAACCTACTCTTTCATAAGCTAGTACTGGTTTAGCCTCTTGTACCGGTAATTTGCTCTAATAATTTCTAGTGCCGAAATTATCATTTATACCTTATCTGCATGCATAAGAGAGTCTAATTCGTTTCTTTCCTTCTAATCACGGGGTATTTTGTTTTATCAATCTTCCAAGGGATGTTTGTTACATAATATTTGACCTCTATAGATAAAATTTTAGCTTCTTTTTTTTTCCCCCCTTTTTATATCGTAAAATGCGGTCTAATCCTGCATAAGAATAGCGTTCCACCAGTGACATGGAGAGTGGATGTCATGGGTTGCTGTGGAAAAGGACGTGCTAAATGGTCATTTCCATTACCAATAATACTTAAAACATTGTATTAGAGAAAAGTTACAAGTACAACTATACTTAATTCATTAATGGAAGGTGAAAACTGGAACTTGGAAAGAAAACAAAATTATACAACTCTTTAATGAGATTCAAGAAAAAATGGCAAAGCAGATAGTAATCTCCCTGCTCCTCAGATCTCTTTTCGTTTCTTGTTTCTGTTCCTGTGACTAATATTCGTCCAAATAAGTGTATAACATCTCGTCTTTCTTTGACTTGCGTCGACTGAGCAATGCCTTTAAAAGGCGTTTACTTTTGCTGGGAGATTGTTCTATATCTTTAGGGCTTTCTTTCTCGAAATAGATGCGCATTGAAGCAGATTTGCGAGGTTCCAATATGTACTGTCAACAAAAACAGCAAATGTAAATTGAAGTATACGATATAAGAAGTTCATTGACAGAAACGAATACCTGTTGTCTTCCAGAAGAGGGATTTGGAGTAGTTGGCCGACTCCTGTTTGGGGTTGTTGGCCTTGAACTTTTTGGTGTGTTCGGCTTACTTGAGAAAGATCCCGAACGCAAAAGGGGAAACCGGAGTGGTGACATTGTTCGTTTGTCTGATGTATTAACGTGACGAGCAGAAGAATAATAACAAATGAATTGTTATACTCCAAAGAAAGTGGAAAATGTGAAAACTATGGTGAATAATAACAATGGTTTCAAACGTGAAAAAAATGGCAGGAACAAACCTAAATCTTTTCTGGTGATAGTGCCCGAGAATGAAAAGTTTCCAGGTTGCTGAGCAAGTCGTGGAGATGGTGAAGGCGAGCGTCCTTTACTGTAAAACAACCAACACAAACATCTTCGTTATCTCGTAAATTCAAGAGGTAAGATAAGAAGTAATTCAATGCATAACAATAGAACTCACATGCCTACAGATGGAGTATCTCCAATTGTAGATCGAATAGCTGCAACAAAATTTGCTCGTAAGATATATAAGTGATACATGACAACAAATTAAGCATTGTTTTCAATAAATTAAAATGGTCGTCTGAGTGAATTATCCAACCCCTGTTCTAGTTATTGCTTAGATATAGTGGAAGGTCTAAAGTATCTAGATCCTTAACAACTATGACAGGCCATGTTAATTGAGGTCTATTCCTTGCTCTTCTTACTTAATCTATCGAGATAATATCGCTCCTATGGGGAAAAAAAAAGAAAAGAAATGTCTCGGTGGCCCTGCCCTTGGTTATGCCAAAAAGTTATAGTGCAACAAATTTGAGAATGCAACAGAAGATACGGCAAATAGTGCACTACCATTCTTCAACTGATGCCAGTCGTCTTCATCATCTAGATTGCATCCTTGGTAATTCAACTTAGTATGGATGGCACCTTGAATGGTCTCCCCCGCTAAACAAAAAAATCAAAGTACTTGTTGTAAACCAACATTGAAATCTCTCTTCTCAAATAGAAAGAAAAACATTGTGAAAATTATCATAGTTAGTGTAATTGCCTGGCAAGATGTACCGTTTATGGTACTTGGAACCGTTTATCATGAGTGACTGCTGAGAAAGGCCTTCACGATCAATATACTCCTGGCATGTCCTTAACCTCTAAGAAAAACCACGTAAATGCAATAAAGAACCAAGGCAAATATAATTTTCTCCCATCCAGTTTGGAGAGTCTTTAAACAAAACATCATCGTCTCTCCACATTATGCTAGTATGATGTTTAGCTACTCATAATAAGTTGCAGTTACTTTTAAATAACTTAGTTTTCAAACATGTTCAGAATAGATACCTGCTCGATACATGATAACCGAAGCTCTGTTCCAGAAACTTCATCAACCAGTTCATCCAACAAATCGTTCACCTTGTAGGACACAGAGCCCAAATGGTCTACAGTATTGACAAGAGCTTTAACGGAATAATCCTTCAATGTATTCACCACTCTGTACATTCAAGAATATTTTCAGAGAACAAAAGTCAATACAGAATCTCTTCAAGTAAAAGATTTGACCGCAAATGGGTAACACGAAATTCTTCAATATACAACTCACATATGTTTCTGATCATCGTTGGTATAAGAAAACTCAAAATATTCTGCAGCTGAGTAAAGTTGTTTCCTAAGATTTCTCAAATCCTGACAAACAAATGCATTATGTATAAATTCAAAACCGCATTCAGGAGGATCAAAAGCTATTTTTTTTAATTTTATTTTTTTGAATATTTATGCCTTGTTAAAAATGAAACTTGAATGTCAAGATTTTAATCAGAATTGCAATAAGATGCAACATGAGAACAACTAGTTACCAGCACCACCTGTCATATTTAAGTTCTTCTGTTATTTAGATTTTATTTTCCTTATCCTAGAATCCTACTTAGGGATAAAAAATGACATAGAAATATATGCAAAACAGAAAGAATGTGTTGGTGTGAGACGAACTCTGGGGGTGGGGTCGGAACGACTCCCCATGAGCTATAAAAGTAAAGAAGATATAAATACCTTGAGGCTATCAGAGAAGAGCATGCTCTGTTGCATAGATATCTCATCATAACTGGTTGGTCCCCGAGGGAAGGGCATCGAAACAGTTGAACTCATTGTCTCCATGGATGAGTAACTAAATGGTAGCTAGATAGTCCTTATCCTGTAACAACCATTTCCTGTCTACATTAAAGGCCATGATTCTGATCTTAAGATATCAAAGAAACTTCAGCACTCATAGTAGGGTGGTGTGTCCGCATCCCACACATTTCAAAAACAGACAACTCAGGACATGTGAGACAAACTGCAGGAATATCCTATCTTTTAAGTATTTTGTTTCAAATTTTAACGTGCCATGGATACTTTGTGCGTTGGATACACCACTAGGCATGTCCTGTATTCGGGCGCTAGAAATAAAAAGAACCTCCCTCTACAAATTGACTTCATGTTAAACAAATGTAAGCTATGGTAACCAAGTTACTATTTTCATAGCTTCATCTCGAATTAATTAAGAACGAAACTTTATTAGCTTGTGTAGCTGCAACCTCCAAAACTACAAAAATCCTTATTTAGAATGAGATTCCAATTCAACACCTTTTGAGTGAGATTTTAAGAAGTAATGTTCTCCAACAAGCTCAAGCTCAAGCTCGACATTCTATATGACGGAAGTCATAAGCCGAGTTTCGGGAAGTTACTGTCTATCGTTGACCTCTGTGCTTCTTCTACTTCTTCAGAATAGCAAAACCAATAATAAACTAGGATTCCAAAAAGCCATTCTTTCCCAGTACACTCCCATTGTTCACACACAAGTATATTCCAACATAAAGCAGTATAAATCTCAGTAGCTAAAAATACATGAAAAGGTTGCAATTTTGCACTCAATATCCAAAACACAACAAAAATTCATCAATTTACAAAGTGAATTTTAGACTATAACTCTACTAATGTAATTCAAAGAAATTAATAAAGAACTCACCTTAACTTGTAAATTCTGAACTTTCCCAGCAATCAATAAAGAACCCACAAACAAAAACGCTGTATAACTTATTTATGTCCTTCTGTAGTGATGTACAAAAGTATAAACCCAGCACCCACTTTCACGCTCAACTTTGATCACAGAATGTGGCTTTGAAGAAAGGCAAACGAAAACATATATAGGCCCATCTACTGACATAGACTAATGTTGTTTGGTACAAAGATTTTGACTAAACAAAAGAAAATTATTTCGTGGGATATTTGAGGTCTGAGGGAATAGGCAATTTACAAAGAGGGGAAATGGAAGCAGAAAAGACACCAATTGAATTGGCATAGAGGTAAGGGTAATTGAAGCATTTTAGGTGAGAGTTAACTTTTTGGAGCAAATACTGGTGCGGGGGTGGGGATATGCTGGAAAGCCGATAACTCTTCTCTAATCATTGCTTCTTTCGTGGGTCCCTTTTCTTGGGGTTTCTTCTGATAATTTTTTGTTTTGGCCTTTTCAACTCATATTTGTAATTTTAATTTTTAATTAAGAATAGAAAATGTCTCTTGAATTTTTAAGATTTCCCAAAAACCTTTTACGCGGATCGACTTGATGAAATTAACCATTTTGACGTATCTTTTGTGCATTAGACAATTTAACATGAAAAGTTTTGAAAGAGTGCGAGATTTTTATCCTAAGTAAATTCTCTTCATAAAAAAATAACAGATGAAGTAAAGGCACTGATAATCAATCAATTTAAGTCGAAATTTCATGTTTTTTAATCAAAATTTATTTTATTTAAAAATACCTTGTGGATCTTAGTCCAATTACTCTAAATAAAATCTATTATTTTTTATAACAAAATATCTGATAAGACATATGATTATCTAACATGAATTCGAAGCAAATGTCTAAGTTGTTACCAACTTGAAAGTCAAACAAGGAAAATGACTTACCTTTTTTAACAAATAAGTAGATGGGAACAAAAAAAAAATTAAAAAATGACTTTCATTAAAAATAAATAAATAGATTTAAGATGATAGAGAAAATATGGAAACACTATATACTAATTTTCTAATACTTTACACGAGGACATGTCCGTAAAATTGTACTTACGGCGTGCTTCCTTTGCCATTCTAAACGTATTATTAATTGTTCAAAACCAATTAAAAAGGTATTCTTCAATGTTACTTAATTGCTAATTTAATAAAAATAAATTAATTTAAAAGGATACTTATGCTATGGTCAACCTTCTAAAGTTATTTTGGAACTTCTTTTGACGAATGTAATCGTTGCCGTGATTGGCGGAAGGGTCCCACATAAGACTGGTGTGATTGACAATTTTGTTCTTTTCTTCTTGCCACTAATCCTGATTTGTTCACACGTGACAGTTGACAAATCCAATATAAATGATATTAGGGTCTGCTTGATAGATCCAAATTTTCTATGGAAAATGAAAAATCAATTTCAATTTCCACTTTTGACATATTTGATTTACAAAATTTTTCAAGGAATTTGTTTTTCACCTTTGGCCACCACGTCAGCATTTTCCACCTTTTTCTTGAATTCGAATTCTCACAATATTGGTGAGATTTCGTTTTCCAAGTACTGTAACATTTTTTTTTCGAATTTTTTTTTCGTTTTTGGATGGTGAAAACAAATTTTAAGAATTATTGTAAAAAAAAATATATTTCCATTTAATTGAAATTTTCTATGTAAAACAAAGCCAAACGAACACAAAAAATAGATGATTTTCTTGATTTTTTTTATTTTTTATTTGCAATGGAAACAAATTTCATCTCCAATATCAGTAAAATTCATCATTTTAATTGACAATTTTCATGTAAAACAAAGTCAAACGAGCACAAAAAAATATTTTTATGTCAACATTTTCCACGTAAAAAATTATATCAATCAAACACAATAATTTAAAATTGTCTCAGGAAAATAATTTCTAAACAATTCAATTTCCTGAAATTCGTTTTCAATTCAATTCAATTCTATCTTTGCAATCAAACGGACCCTTACTGTATTTAATAAATCATAAATCAATAAATCTTAAAAATAAGTTTTAGCTTTGGTTCCCATCACTTGAAATTATAATTTGTAGAATAGTGCTCTTTTGGTGAATATGTGGTTCAAAAAAAAAAGGAAAAAATTTTGATTTATATGTAATACTATTTTATAAAAGATTGTTTGATTAAATATAAGATAGAAGAATAATTTTTTGGGATAATGGGGGTCAAACGAAAATGTGTAATTTATATTGAAATGTTTTGAATATTGGTAAGCTCACGTTAGAAAATAAGTCACATGTTTATTGATAAAATTTAAGTTAAATCATCCCTAGCATGTTCTATATTTAATTTAATCATTCAATGTTTAAAAAAATGTTTGATTTTTCCCTTAAGTTTTATTCAATTTCACTCTCCAATCGACAAGCCAAAGTCGAGCAGAGCACAACTGTAGTCATAATAAACTCCTAGCTTGGTTTAAAAGTCGAGGACGACTCAAGTTCGAGCATCTTAAACAATGATTTTGCTTCTCTACCAGACCTGTAAATGATCTGGTAGAGGAGCCTCTCTACAGCAATGGGTCCCCCATTGGGACCCATTATTTAAAAATTGTCAAAAAACACCCACTCCCACCTCCAAATGTGAGTGGAGCTGCTCTATCAGATCATTTACAAGTCTAGTAGAGCAACACGGTCCCTTAAACAACCACATGTCGAATTCCATTTAAAAACATGCAGATGTCAATTAAAAACAAAAAAACTCTCATTTTAACAAGAGAAGAAAATAAATAAAATTCAATTTTGGATAATTACCATAGCATCTCAATGAAATTTAGAGCTTCTACCTAATTTTATTTTGAAAACTAAAATGATGAGAACAATTCTGTTTTTTCAAAAATACTAACTGGTCTAGTTTTATTGACAATATAACTTTTAAGGATTATACTACTTATACATAAAAATGATATATAAGGATTACATATACTTGTACATAAAAATGGTACATAAGGTATTGCATAACATAACGTTGAGGAAAAAGTTTGGTTGAAAATATTTTAAACTGACAAATAATATAGTGACATGTGAGTCTATGACATTATGTAAGTTATTATGTAAAATTTGATATACATATAATAAGTTCCAACTTTTAAATGCATTCAATTATCCCATTAATTTTGAAATGGGACATGAACAGAATATGGCTCAAATGAAGGGTCCAATGCACAACTAACCATGTTATTAGAAGCTATTTTCAAAATTATTGTACACGATTCTTCATTCTCAAGAAAGACTACCATACGCTATACGCTATATTCCAGTTTCTTCATCAAGATTGAAAAATACTATTATAGAATCAAACGAGAGACTATGTCCGATTTGATTTAGATAAAAGTCAGATTTTTAATAAATTTTAATAAGATTGATGGAAAATGAAAAGTATAATCAAAAAGTTGTAGATCCCATAAAATATATGATCAAAATTAATGATTGATTTGATTTAAGTTTTGATTAACTTTTCAATTGAACCAAACACGAACTATAAAACCCTTCGTGAATATTCAATTTTTAGTCCATAATTGCTTACTCTAGTGTTTATAAGCCCTTGTTCGACTCTCATTATCTAAAAGTTCATTTTTCCTCAAATTCATTTTAATTATTCATTTTCCAAATAAAATAATTTATACGTAAGCCCTTTTTTTTTTCTTTTTTATACTTTTTAACCACACAATTTGAGAAAGAAAAAATCAATATTACAAATCTCATTTTTTTTTTCAATAATCAAACTGGAGCTAAGTAAATTGCTCGAGAATTTGGAGCACGTGGCCCCAAATTCCAGGAAGTGTGCAGATCAAATTTTTAAGCGGAACGAGACCTTATTTTTCTCCCACTAAAGAAAATTGACATAAATGACACTAAAAAATGTTGTGGTGTAACCATATTAATATTTCATATGTAGCACAATTTTATACTCTCATCTTTTTGTCGCACTTGATCCTATTTGAGTTGGCCATTTTCATTTTTTATTGATTTTTTATCTGATCCCTTAATTGACTTCAACACAAATTCAAATGTAATGTACAGTACTATTTCTTATCAACTTACAAATTCAAGATCGGCAGTCCACTATCTATTCATTCAAAAAATGTTTTGAGATGAAGAAAATGAGAAAGAAGAAATAATAGAAAGAGAAAAATCTCCTATTGGATTATACGAATTGATTAAGTTGTTAAAAGTTGGACCTGTCAATAAATTCATAAGAATCAACATAAGTTTAAATAAATCACTCATTTCTCTCAATAATAAGTTGATAACAACTTATTTTCTCACTAAACACTTATTTCTAAGATCTAAGCATTTACATACTACTCACAATAGAGGTGGGGACCACATTTGGATGTTTTTATATTCACACGGCCCCACATGCATTGTGAAGGGGAGGACAACTTTTGATACATTACATTCGATACAAATGTAATTATCCTATTTCTAATCCCATCCAGTGTTCTGGACATTTCCATTCCTCAATTCCAAACTATTTCTGGATCCTCACTTTACACCACAGCATGATAATATGAATCACTCTTAAAATCGGCTTATAAAAGGAGAGCGCCTCAATGTGCTAATAAATCTACAGATAGGCCGTCCACGAGCGGTGTGGGATTTGAAAAGCACAGAAGCGTGACTGTTCCAAATGAAAGGGCTCGTCGGCCCCGATTTTATTGTTTCTGAATCATATATGTGTTTTACTCACTGCAAGCATTGTAGTTAGATGAATAATTTAAGACAGTAGAACAGCTTATTCACTATAAAAGTTCCGCAAAGTATTAGAGAAATGGCAAGTTAAGAACTTTGTATTGGCCTCTTCCTTCAAGTATTCACAGGACGGCGGCGCTATCTTTGGAAATGGGTGATACAATCACATGCGAGGGTTCCCTCAAGATCCCCTATGAGTCGAGATATCCAGACTTCAAGCCCTCTCTGTACTTCTCTGAAAAGAGTTCTAACAGTATCAGCGAATCGCTTCATGTCAAAATTAGCAGGCTTTTCGACTTCTTCTATGTCCCCTATAAAGCTGGAAGCAATCTTAGTTTGGACTTCCATTAGTTTCTGCCCTGTCGCAACAATATATCGCTGCAGTTGAAAGGTTTCTTCAAGGAAGTGCTCTAGCTTTCTCGTTTCCTCCTCCGTTCTAGAAATTCTGGAACTTCCACCGTTGAAATCCAGGGCATTCTCATGCTGCAATTCATTTGGGTTATGGTTAGAGAAAACCTTTAGTGTACGTTTGGTACGCAACATTGGATAAATTGGATATAATAATAATAATAATAATAATAATAAATCTTAATTTCTTATTCTTTAATATTGTTTAGTACTATCCCATCCTCCCTACCAAACGTGTCATTATGTCATCAAAACATTAGGATGAAAAAAAGTGATTCATCTAACTGAATAAGAGCTGGAAATATTATGGTCGGAGCATACCATTCGTTTGCAAATATCGTCTGCGTTTCCCTGAAGGGACTGGTATCGATCGACTTGTTTATTCAAGAATGACATAAGTGCATAAAATCCCTTTATCCCAAATTGTTCGTCGTCGTTGCTCTCACTTTTATCACAACTTCCTTGATTTCCTATTAACCTCTCAAGCATGAGTAATTGCTGCTTCAGCCTTTTGATTTTGTATGAGACTCCGAGCGCGTGAAGATCCACCTTCCATGTAGGATTAATTTTTGTACTTATTCCCTGGCCTATTGAAGTTGAAGTTTCAGCATTCACAATATCCTCGGAAAAGGCAGCAACTTCCCCTTCCTTTATCTCCTTCTGTGGAGATTCAAGAGTCAAAACTATATCCTTGATATGCTTATTTTCCAGGGATTCATCTTCCACCTCAATTGCCTCAGGTTTCATCTTTGTTTCTTGCTCATTTTTCCCGGGTTTTCTTTTTATAATTTTGAATTTTGACCAAACAGTATCACGGGATACAGCTACCTCGTGCAGAGACGAGTTGAAGTTAGTTTTCTGGAAATCTGGTGGGTTTGACAGCAATGCCAACTGTTCTCTCAGAGTGTGTAAATCTGCTTCTCTGTTCAGCAGTAGAGCTTCCAACTTGAGATTATCTTGCCTGATCTTTGCCAGCTCATGATTGAGCCCCTCAACATGCGACTGAAGCCTCTTTGATTCTAGTTCCATGCTCAACAAACGCCAGCGGAAACCTTCTATTTTTTCGTCCTTGAGTCTCAGTTGTTCAGCAAAAGCATTCATTTCAGCATGATGTCGCTCCTCAACTTCAATCTTGCATTTTTCAGCCTCCGATTTGACCCAATATTCCATGTGCTGAATGTCAGCTGTTAAGACTACAAATAGCAAAGTTAAGGCAAAAATAATCAATTATGGGATCCACTTCCGATAGTAAAAAATAAAAAAAAAATAAAAAAAAAAATTGTATCTTCTTAATGTTTGTTGAAATGGAAACAATTGACTGATTCAGAATGTTTAATCAGAGTTCACATCTTTATCTTTTGCTTTAGGTCTTTTGCTTTAGGGGGACGAAGATTAGTAAAGAAAATATTATGTGTGCTTGTGCATCAGAAATTATGATGTAGGCTCAACTATATGGGCCAATGTTAGATGGGCACCCCTGCAAAGGGCATTGGAGGTCGCAAACCTAGGCCATGGGCCTTAATGCCCGTTGACCCCATCAGGTCGTGTAAATTTGAGTGTGGACATCAAGAATAGGATCTTACTCTTTTCCTCACTTCCATCAGCTGAGTGTGGGTCGAATAGAGGAGAAAATGCTGCCGGCCCTTTCCTAAACTTAGGCTGGTTGTACTTGGAAAGAAAGTCAGTTTTCT